TTCCCTCGCGAATATAACTCGGACCTTCTCGCGTGATCTCACGAAATTTAGCGCCTGCGGCGCGGTACATTATTGCGATCCCGAGGCAATTTGCAACACCGGCCTTATTTAACACCGCGAATGACGAATTTGCCGGACGATTCTCCTCTGCCGAGGAGAAGTTTCCTAATAATGAGCGACGTGCGTCCAACGAATCTGATAAAGACTCCATTGTGGATTCTACCTATAATTTATTGCGACGCGGCGCGGGCAACAATGTTCGTTATTGCAACGCGGCGCAATTCTCCGTATCTGCCTTATCAAACGACGGGCAATTTGTCCATCGCGTTTCTATCTAAATGTCCAATTAATAATAATTTAATTACATTACGCTGTTCTCTCCGGCTCAACTGTCAGATAGGTCGGATTAATGATTTGTAAGATTTAATTCTCCATAATTTATGTGCGAAGGGAAGCTAATTAAGAAAGAATTCTATCTATAGATCAGAGAGCAAAGTGTTGCTTCAATTAATTGCGTAAGCAGCAAACCTCTCTTATTTTTATGAATATAATTCGCATATCCAGAATCCAGAGTAACATATTCAAACGAAGCAAGGAATAATAACTTCTTGCTGGAATGATAGGTACATTTTTTGACGTTTATTATCGATATAGAAATTAGAAAGTTTAGTATATTACATAAGCTATAATAGAGAACAATAAGGGACAGCTTTTAGAATAACCGACTAATGTCCTTTCCTGTTTCTTATAGCAGACCGCTTATCAAACCCAAATTGGCGCTTTCTTTGCCATACTAATGCTGCCGGGCAACTCGATACTCAAGAAATCAATATGTACTCACAGTGGCAGGGACGCAGCCTCTGGTTGGAATAGGTCTGAGTATCTTTCAAGTTGAAGTCCTTTTTAGGTTAGTTTCTTTTGTTTAATCTACAAAATAAAAGTTAAAATAAAAGTTAAAATAAATATCAATAATTTTAGTTTTTATGAAAAATTGAGAACAAAAATAGAATTTAACAATTTAAAAGATATCCGCTTAATTTGATAAAAATGTCGATCGTTTACGTCATCATTTTTTTATTTGAGACATTAATGCTTTTTGAACAAACTAAATGCAGATTAATCGTAAATCAAAACGAACGAGATTAAGCGACATTCTACGACAGTGCCGACTTTACGCAATGCAATCCTGTGTGTCACGAAAGAAATTTTAGTTTACCGTATATTACACACTTCGCACGGATGCGTCATAAATCACGTTAAGAAGAATTTCCCAGAGTTAGTATGCATCACTAACTTTGCACAGTATAAATTATTATATCATTAAGCGGATCCATCAGCACGTACCGCAAATAACACATTCACCACAATTAGAATAAAATCTGAGATTGAGATAAAAAACAACAGCGTAAAATTAATCAATTCAGGCAAATTAAGATGTAAATTATGCTAATTGATTCAATTCTATGAAGGATATGCCCGCGTGTTACGCGGCGCTAGATTTATCGTTGCAAAAAACTGATAAATGTAATAAATTGTGTTATACATAATGAAATACAAAAAATCTGTTTTAATGACCTTAATATATTCATCAATTCATTTAAGCAACTTTAACGCGATTATCTTTACCTTAAATAAGCATTTCAAAACTAATACACAAACATAAAATTTTATACTTAATTTTATATAAAAAATTATTTCAGTATCTGCGGATTAATATTTTTAATTTTGCGATCAAAATGCATCTTTTAATCTTTTATCATTACAATGTGGATTTATTCATATTCTTTTAATAAGAAAATTGATCAATTGTAACGATCGTATTCTGCAACACGCAGAAAAAACTGAAGATTGTATATATATTAAAATATTAAAAAAGACATTACATTTAAGAAAATGTCAGTATTTAAACAATGGAGTGAGATAAAAATGAATTCAAAGCAGAAATCGGAAGCTTTCCGCGGGAATAACAAAAATTAATTCGAATATATAATAAATCCGCCCCTGGAAAGGATGCATCACCTCGTACCATAAGAGCGAGCTGCATCCTTTCGACGAATGAGAGTAGCCGCTTACGAATTAGCGAGCGCGCAATACAAGTCTCAGCTAACTTACAGGGTGTATCCTAAGCGAAGAAGGCCTTAGGGATACTAACGACTAACGAGCACGTGGACGCTCGTTAAGGCGGGAATGTGCAGGGTACCCCGCGTTAACGAAATTTACGAAGGCGGCCAGCTGTAACGAGTTCGAGGCTCGAGTACATGTTGCAAGGATACCGTCGAAACTCCTTAATCCCGCAATCGCGGCTGTTAAACGGCGCGTTTTTTTTTCCACCATTACATGCACTATATATGCATCGACAAAACTACCATGTTCGCATTTTCCTTGTTTCAATATCCTTTTTCGTTAATTTATCTGAATTACGACGCACTCTCTCTCTCCCTTGATCCTCGTCCAACGATGGTTATTAAATGGTCGTATGTTCCTCGAAAATTGCAACAGAGAAAATGAAATATCACTACGAAGCACGAACAAAGTAGATGCAGACACTTAAGTGCATATCGTACATGTAAGTCATCTTCTAAAATAATTCATGTACACATTAGGAGAGAAGTGCAATCTTATTTTGATTTTTATTAGCTTATAATTTCGAATGTCTGATGAGGAAAAAAAAAACAAAACGAAGTAAACACATCTTGCTTCGTGACAAGACTAGTCATGATTTCATTCTAGAAAATAACAGTGTGATATACCGGGAATAAGTATAATTGGATGGCAAGAATTTATAAACTTCGCGAGAGTATTTTGCCTCTCTCACTCGCTTCTCGGCAAATGTCGGATTCGCGTTTAAGTTTATGAGGTGTTAACGCGCCATTGACAATACATCATTATGCTGAGCCTCCTTGATGGCCAAGTGTACGAGTCGATTTCGCGGTAAATTTCTATTTAAGCGTCACTCGACAAGCGCGCGCATACATCGAAACGTAAAGCCGTAAATAGTAACCGACGGAATCCTCGGTTACCGGAATCGAAATGGAAGCAAAAGATCGTTCCAGAAAATGCGTCTGCCAATAATAATTTGAGTTCATCGACAAAGGCAAATTCACTTGAACTGGCTTTAACCCTAGCATATTTCATTGCGCAATAAATATATATATATATATATTTTATCTTAGAGTAAAATATCAATTTAACACATACATAAACACACTCGCGCGCACATACTTTCCTATATATTATAGATGAGTATTACACATTCTTTTAATACTATGTAATAAAGTTAGAAGCTAATTGATTAATTATCCAAAAGTGTATATTCTATCATTTACAAATTCTCGATATAATTATGAATATGCAATGTTAATACTAACATCTGAATTGACATATGCAAGACGGAAGTCCCTATTGTAGAATGACTATCTTCTGATGTACGCAAAATCGAAATATACACAAACTAATGATTTTTTATTTTTTCATTCTTCTCCGTAAAAAGTAAAGATTGACTATAATGAACTTTAATGATCACTCCAAAGTCATGTTGACGCGCGTCCAAACTCCTCGCTAGCCGAGCGAAAAATGAATATATGATTTACGAGCCGTATTTGAAAAATGACTACATGATTCACGAACCATCTTCCCGAAAAAGAGAAAGAATATCAGAAAAATCGATAATTCGATGATAATTAATAATTCCATTGCTGCCGATAATTCGCATGCTTCATCTGTTTTGCATTTCAATATCACGCGTGTTGCTCTTCTATCATATAGTGCTTTTCCCTGTAATTACGAGAAAATCTTATATGTAGACACAAACTCAAGTTTCTGATTCTGCATAATTTCTAGTTTCGATATCATCACAGGTAAAAATTTAATTAATAATAATCTGTGATTATTTACACATATTTTATCTCGGATTAATAAATGTTAAGTAAAAATTAATAAGTAAAAAAAAATAACGTGGAAGTATAAACTAATAAAGCAAATTCAACAAAATATTAAAAATATGAGGATATGCTCATCAAACAGAGAATAAATACGAGATGATCAAATGATCGTCTCTACCAAGGCAGTTTGAATTTGTAAGGCATCGACTAATTGACAGAATGACCAACAAAATTTAAAAATTTCTATTATATTATAAACGATAATTATATGGCTGGAAATTTTAATGTTGGTCATCCTGCAAGTCGATCAACCATAAAGTTTAATCGTTGATGGAAACGGACGTGAGTTAAGGGCCGGTCTACAATGAGTTGTAAGTCGTTAGTCATAAGCAAATTGATCAACCACAGTCGATTATTCCGAGAATATTCTTGGTTGGTCAATTTGCTTACGACTAACGACTAACGACTCATTGTAAACCGGGTTTTAGTGTACGTGAGGCTGAGCGTTAGATCGCATATGAACGGATAAAGGAATCGGGAAGAGCACGCGAAAACGTAGAAAGCGAAACAGACGGGAATGACACGAGAGAGGCAATTCTGGCAAACTGAAACAAACAACGGTGGAGATAAAAGCGAGAGGGACAGACGCCGACAACGAAACGAGGCGACGCGACGAGGGCGGCATAGGCTGCTGGATCACCTATAGGGTAGATACGCAGGACTCGTGGTCGTGGAAAAAGCATGCGGAGTACGCGCCGCGACGAAGTAAAGACCGAAAGAGAGGGAGAGAACGGCTGTTCCTCCCCCTCCCCCCAGACTCCACACATTACTCGGCTGATGCCGACCGGGCAGCATGAACGGCGGGGGGGGGGTGGGGGATCAAACGAGCGAGAGCGAGTACAACGGAGAACAAGGATCGAGCGCGCCTTTGGACGTAGAAGGGTGACACGAGTCGAGGAAGTGGAACCCGGTGAAGCCGACCAATGAGACGAATCCGCCACGATGTCGTTCCCCCGGAATAAGGCGAGCGGAGGCGTTCCAGAGCGGCGAGTTCGCGCGGCGGCCGCCAGATGTCGCGATGATCCTTCGTCTGCGTATTACCGGGATCACCATCAGGAAAGGCGTACGCGTCTACGCCCAGTAACGCCCATCGCTGGTCCTCCCGCCGCTTCCTCGCCGCAGACGTTCCGCGGCAACCAACTGGACAAGCAGGCCCGGTCCGGTTTCACGGCGTCGCACAACGACTCCGTTGAAACCCGCGTCTACTCCCAGCATCGCGGAGGACTCCACGTTTTCAGCGGCGCGATTCACTCACACGAAGAGCGCCTCTGACGTTCCTCATCTTCGTCTTCGTCCGGTGTATAATACTATCGCTGTCGCGTCGAGGACGTTGGTGATCTTTACACGACTTTCAAGAAACGTTCAGTCATCGATCGAGGACTCTGAAATATGTGAGAGTGCATCGTATTAAGATAATATAGCGGAGACTTTGAAAGGATACGTTTCGCAGGCTCGCAATTCTCGATTAAAATATAGGGGTACCAACTGAAGATTATACGTGCCACCAGATGAGTATCGAATCCGGATTCGAGGTACTTTGTAGTGTAACATCATCAGAAAGTCGACAAGAAAAAATAAACTGAGAATGAAAGCCGGATGAAGTATAGATAACCGCTTGTAAGTAGCTCACAAGCTGTCCGTCGGAATGAAGCAGAGTGAGGTTATGGTTTAGCCGGTGACAGAACTTCGCGAGATGCTAATGTAACCGTCGGAAGTGTTGTACTGCGAAAGAAACTTCGTTAAGCGGAAGAATCACCTTAAAATTGCTACGTTATGCCATTTCACTAATTCATCATGTACGTTAAAAAGAAATCGTGAAGTTCGCGTAGATAGTAAACACAAATCTGAGAATGACGTCATCCGTCGATGCCAGACAGAATACTTCCGTAAGGTAAAACATTTAAAATGATATGAAACATCGAGGAAATATTACATTCAGTTTAAAGAAACGTCTTCTTAGGAAGAAGAAGGCATCATGAAAACACGATCCACAAAAGTTTCATTGTGATCGAATCAAGGAAACTGGATCTGTCATTGAGCGAGGTGGGTGTCTTCTCTCAGAAAAAAATGTCGAGTACATCCCCGGCGCCACCAATGGGTCTGGACACCGGGTCAGAATCGGAGATTAGATCGAACCACCTGATCTCGCGGTTGGATCAGGATTCGGAAGATGCGGAGAAACGGGATCGAGCGCGAAGGACGGAATGCAGCAACGCGGACAGCGACTGCGAGAGCGACACGAGCGAGGTATTGAGCGTTGGCAGTGAACCCACGCCAACCAGCGTGGTCGGGGTGCGTGTATGCGGGACTATGAGGTACCATGACCAGGAATTGACCATGACCATGACCGCGGAACTCACCCCGAGTTCCGGTCGCGGTGAGTTTCGCGACGAAGAGAACACGAGAACGTCGGAGACGTCGTCGCCGGCCAGCTCCACCAGCTGCAACGACCTGTATTACCAACGCACGTCTAGTAATCACGTGTCGGCGCCGAGTCCGCCCGGCTATAGTCAACCACCGTCATCTCCTACGGCGTCTTCCGTCAGATCCCCGGCTTCCTCCTCGGCCACCGCCTCATCGCCTGGTCGGCCGGAGGCTATCCAAGAGGCTATCGTACCCAGGTACCAGTCTGGTCATCAACAACATCTACTTTCCCGATACTCCTCCAGGGAATCTGAGATCTCCGATTATCCAACGCGGGTCCATGGCATTGGTCACGAGATCATTTATCCTACCGTAGAGAGGTTACACCGTACACCCATAAGCGTACCTTTGGTAACGAGGCTCTCATTGTCACCGCCGTCGGCCATGACGGTCACCGGACTCCAGGCGACAACACCTGGCGTTCTCCATCCCGCTGCCTGTAGAGATCCGCGGGAGACCGCCACGTTGATGCCGCATCATAGCCAGCATCTGCATCATCCCAACGCTCACACGCATTTGCAACAGAGCTCGCAGGTGCAACACGTGCCGGCGAATTCGGTGCATCAGCATCGACTCTCGGTCAGCAAGCTCCTGCAGCGGGACCCGGGAAGCCCGGCGTCGCCAACCGGCACCAGGGAGGAGAACGGACGTACCCTGCCGGCCGCGAACGGCGTACCGAACAGTATCGGCAACAACGGCAACCATCATCACAATAATCACAACAACAATAACAATCTGCAACATCAGAGTCTGAAGTTCAGCATAGACAATATCCTAAAGGCGGACTTCGGCAGGAGAATCACGGATCCGATCTCCTTGAAAAAGTCCCGACCTAAAAAAGTGTCTTCGAGGCCGATCGATCTGACAAAGGACTTCCTAGAGTCGTCCTCTGACGCGTCCGAGAGAAGCAGCTCGGAGACAACGACGACGACGACGACCAACACATCCCCCACCAGCGTATCGACCGGAAATTCGGCATCCAAAGCAACTGGATCGACTGCGACCGATCCTGGGAAGATGTTGTGGCCTGCGTGGGTCTATTGCACCAGATACTCGGATCGGCCTTCCTCTGGTGAGTTATCGATGCCCATTATTTAATGCGATGTTTTCGGTATTGAGTTACGTAAAATCGTCTGAAGAGCGTGACAGTAATTCATTCTGCGATGTGTTTTTGTTGATGAGAGTTATCTGAAAAAAGTTGTTTATCAAGATGTACTATAGGTGATGAAATCTTTGGCAATCGCTCGTGTAAAGCATCACGACGATCAAGCTTCAATTTATCACATCGGGAACGATTTATGTTCATGATCATTGTGTTGAAATATGAGATATCCGCATTACAGTCTCTTAAAAATTCCACGAAAATAGTTTGTATAAAGTTTCATATTAATGTGGACGAATATAATAGCAAAAACGTATAATAATACGATTAATCAAGACATCTATACCCAAAACGTAAGTATTTAAATAAAATGGAATGATTGTTTGGCCTACATAAGAGTTTTCTATCAACGCAATTTCACGAGAGTAATAGTATAATTTAATATTCGAAGATTATATTATACAGAACACGCGCGTTTAAAAAATGACGAAACAAATTTTACGCATTCATTGTTGGAGTATGAGATTGCCCAATACTCGTAGATAGAATCTCTCATTAGTATATAATGGCTTTAAGTATACCGAATGTATATAAATTTCTTATTGTTAGTCAGAGAAGAAATATTTAAGTATACCGGGAGAGAGAAAATGTTTCTTGCCATTGTGCGAGAGAACGTTTGTTATAAACGGCTGCAATTTACTACTGTCACGATTCTTGTATAATACACGCTCACATTTGCGGAATCGGTTGCCACGGTTTTTAAATAATAATTAATTAGTAAAATGTATGGCGCGCGCACACATACATGCATATGTTCGTTGCAACACTTGTGTGCTTTGGTAGGTGAATGGTACAACTGTTTAAATATGTAAACATATTTGGAAGAGAACGCGTGCAGGGAAGGAGAGAAAGAGAGAGCGAATAATCTCATAATTTATAGCGAAACACAGTTTTTCAACGTTGTATATGTATAATAAATGATTTAATATTCTTTTATCGGTTTCATCATATTTAATTGCATATATATATATATATAACGCGTATTTATCAACAAGATATATATATATATATATATATATATATATATATATATATATATATAACTTATCAGAAAAGGTAAAAATACACACAATCATATGACACGTGGACAATTTGGTTACCTGTTTATGCGAAACTCATTTTGAACAAGTCACAATGTATTACAGTACCTTAGATTATTGACTGGACAGTTAATTATCATCTGCTCTTCGAAAGAAGTATGTCGGTATTATCGCCGCGTTTTTGCACCTTCGTGCAGATAGATGGTCCTTTCAAGTGACACAGGAAAACGTGTAATTACTTTACTTCCCGGCCGAGTGGCGGCTTGATGAATGATAGAAAACGTTTCTTCGTGTCATTCATATCTGATATACGCTTATTGTCAGGAAACAATAGTTAAGCAGTCGGAGAAATAGCCGCTCTCTGCCTCATAAATCAAGCACAGCCATTTCTCATCTGGTATAACGCAAGTAACAATTTTCTAGGCGGATCTCTAAGACTTGTGTTATTGTGCAAAAATTCGATCGATAAATTTATATAATTGAAATTCATTTATCTCTCTTTGCGTTACAGTTTACATAGTCTTCGCGTTATTACATTAACGTATAGCGGTTTAGATCTAAAAAAACCTATATAAATTGTTATACACATATTTATCTATATACACACACAATTAGAACGTATGGTTACAGTTTTACAGTAGTATATTTATTTCTATATCTTATAATTAATGTCCTGTACATGATGACATCTTTTTAAATGAAAACTGCTCACACGTTGCATCTCTTCATCGCGCGAACTTGATAATCGTAATGTATCGCCATTATGTCAGATCCGTTCATTATACCAAACACCGTGACGAATAGATAAATGCTCTCGCCTGGAGAGATATTATTGGATCACCTTTTGCTGTTATGTATTTATAACGCGTAATTCCGCGACAGGTAGATAAGAAGCACACACATACGAGTAGTTAAGACGACGACTATAAAATCTAATTACCGTAATTGCGCGTGTTACTCTCGCGTTGCGGAGCGGGTTCATTGATATCACGGGAATTCTTTTCGCGCGTCGCGTGCGTTAATATCCAGCGATATAATCGTGACAATTTCTACATATATTTACGTTTATAAAACGTCTAGTAAAAAGGAGAGATGAACGAATCTAATCGGCGATGTATTGCTAACCTCACATGTTTTATGAGACTTTCGCGCTCATAGTAATTAAAATATGGTTGAAGCAAAGTTTCTTTCCCATTTACTGGCTACTTTATTGAAGAATATAAATACAGTACGATAAAGTATTTCCTCGTTACGAGCCTCGTAAAGACATTGCACTCTGCAATTTTCTTGTAAAGTACAAAAATCTAAAAATTATTAGATACATTTTTGAAGCATTTTCTTATACAGTAAATCGTGAAATGTTACATGAGCCAATTAAATTGTTAATTAATCATTATACATTCTAAAATTTAAACTTGATTGTCACTGACTTGCAGTTTACGCATAAGGGAATAAAAATTATTTATAAATCACAGATAATTAAAGATCATTTTATTCAATGAAATATCTGAAGACCTAAATAAAAATCTAAAAGCGAATACGATCAACATCGGCTGTTACCATTGTAGAGGAAAATTGTATCGCGTAATCGTAACGTGGGAAAGAGGG